ATAATTTGGAATTTGTTGTGGTGATCAACCTTAAAAATGTCTTCTGTCTCCTCTCAGCATACAGCCACAGTTGAAGAGAATAAGGTAGATGATGTAGTTGTTAAGATGGAGGTGACAGACGGTGATGAGCCTCATACTCCTGCCTGGAATGCAAAGTTCAGCATCATTAATGGAGATCCAGGAAATCTATTTACTGTGAAAACAGGAACAAACAAACAAGAAGGAATCATCACTACTGCTAAGGTAAGAGGACCAGCAGAATCTTAAGGCTCCCACATACTTCATCCAAAATCAAACAGTCGACACTCAGTCACATGGTTTCACCTCACAGCTCTCACACAGTGGCACAGAGCTTTTGGAGGACGTCCTCATGCTTCAGTATACGTCACGCCCCGACCCACTGGGAGTCTCCTCCCTCCCTGAATTCTCTTTTTGCTTTTGCAAAACAGTCTCAGAGAGTGCGCCACATATTTCTGCAGACAAACTCCTCTGTGAACAATGACATTACAATTTCCATCCAGGAATTTTTAGACATTAGACAGTCCTATTGTTATAATAGATATTTAGTGAAGAATTCTACAATTATACATAATTGCTCATCACGTCCGGTAAACATTGTTCAAAAGTATTTATGTCTCCTCCAGAAACAAAAACAGGATAGTGGAAGCCAACTAGTTGTAGAAAAAATATCAATACTGCTGCCTGAGTGCATTTCAGCATAAAATACAGCAACTTCTGACCAATTAGACAACACTTTGCACAGAGCTCTGTTGAAATAATTCAACCAGGGCCTGGTGTCGAGTTCGGCATGCAGATGGCTCTCTGAGAACAAAAGGACATTTTCGTCGCACATCGACGTCAATGAGAGCCGATTTTACCACTTGGATGAAGTATGTAGGAGCCTTTATTGTATTTTATGAGGGGTAACTCGTTGCTACATTTAATACAGTGTGTTGTCATTCTGCTATGGATTGTACTATATCTGTGTCTTCTACTAATCCAGGGTCTGGACTTTGAGAAAGCCAGTAAGCACACTCTGCTGGTCACAGTGGAGAATGAAGCTCCTTTTGCTCCTTCTGTTTCGTTGGGAATTTTCACTGCTACAGTGGTGGTGACTGTGAAGGATGTCAATGAACCTCCCATTTTTGAAATAGAAGAGAAGCATGTTTCCAAAAGTGAGGCCCTTGCTGTGAACAGCACTGTGGTGCAGTACACGGCTTCTGATCCAGACACTGGACGCAAACAGAAAGTCATGTAAGAAACCTTTTAAACTTTACATAACATCTGTTTGAAGGGAAATTTGCTAAACTTTTTATTTTAGGGTTTATCAGATCTCTTTTCCCAGCAACAACTTAACAAACATCAATCTTGAAAACCTTATTACAGTTAATATTTGTTGTTAATTATATGAATAAACATCAGCTCCAAATTAACAAATTCAGTCATATTCTGTCCAATCCAATGTAACAGTAATCATAATGCAGAACCATCAGATTCAGTTGAATCTGAATTACATATTAGTAAGTAAGTGATTGGTCTGCAGAAACCAGCAGAGTCTTATCTAATTTGTCACGTTGTCTCTCATTTCAACATGTGCTACTTTGCTCCACATTATGAGGTTGGGGTCATGCAATTTTTTATCGTCCTACATGTGCAGGTATAAGGTAATCAAGGACCCAGCTAAATGGCTCAATGTCGACAAGGAAACCGGAATAATCACAGTGAAAAGCCAAATGGACAGAGAATCTCAACTTGTCACGGAGGATAAATACACAGCCCTGATTGGTGCATATGATGATGGTAGGTGTGATGGTTAATTGATTTGTACAGCAGCAGCTACACAAGAGGACATTTTGGAATCAAATGTGAAGTCAAACCTAATAGAATAGCTTCATTGATGTGGTTGGCTGTGAGCTGAAATCAAATAAGACCTCAGAAGTTAAGGGTCCTTCACTTCTGTAGCCTTAGGAAACCTTCTCCTTTAGCTTGCTTAGTGGGACTTCTCTCCCACTAAGCAAGGTAATACTTGCTTAGTGGGAGATACTACAAGTATTGCAGTTTTAGATTTCCTAACCTTGTCACAAGAGTCTCAGTGGATTGTTGAAGCCATCCGTGTGGATTACTCACGATTTCCTGACCCATGTCTGTCATCTCACCAGATCAGATCCCAGCTACAGGAACCGGAACTTTGATTATCAAGCTTGAAGATGTCAATGACAACCCCCCCAGCATTGTTGATCGCGTATTTGAGGTATGTCAGCAGAACATTCGTTGCTGCATATTTTTCAGGCAGATAAAATCAAATGGAAATCTTTGTTTATCCTTAAAGTACTTAAATATGATGTTTTTTCTAATCTCTACTGAAATTTGAATCTAAAAATTTTTTAATTATTTACAAGTAATGGTGTCCCAACACCAATACCAGCATCATGTACTCATACGATTAAAAACAAGTAAAGGTACTCCGGACCAATACCACTTTTGTTCTGGGTGTTTCCTCTTGAGCTGGGTTAGAACAAACTCCACACCAGGTGGTGATGGTAACACACCAACAAGTTATCTGCTGAAGAAAAAAATAATAAGAAAAGAGAAATTAGGTGGGAGGAGGGGGTGAAAATGTCCGTACTTTAAGATATTTGAAGATAAAAATGGCAGATGCTAAAATAAATTCTATTTTGTTATTTATCATTTTTATTATTTATTATTTAGTGTATCATGCTATAGTTTTGATTGGTTTGTGTTTTTAAACATTTTTTTGTGATGTATAAAGTACAAACTTATTAACTACTCGGTAGTGGTTCTTACAATCTGCTACCGGATAGTGGTACTTAAACTGAAGCAGTAAAAACTGCTATCGGGACACGCCCACTTACAAGTGTGCTGTAAACTATTCACCAGTGTTTCAAATCCATTTTTTCCCCACAGATGTGTAACAAGAAACCAATTCCTGTGGTGCTGAATGTAACAGATAGAGATGGAACAGGTTTTACTTTTCCATACAATGTCAACCTACGGGACGCTTCAAAGGCCAACTGGACTGCTAAGATGAACGAGACTGGTATGTTTACCTTTTATACTAAAATGATTACAAACCTGTTCCTAAGAGCAGGAAATGATCCCAAGAAATTGAAAAGAGTTCCTCTTTCACAAATCGTCTGTCACCTGCAAAGATATCCCATAGAGACCAATTGATCTGTTCTGTGAACCACTGAAGGTTTGGTCCTCCAGGCTCACCGCCCTGCAGGTTTTAGGTGTTTTCTTGCTTCAGACAGGGTGATCTCAATTCACAGGTTTCTGCTGAACTGCAATCAGCTGAATCAGGCGGAGAAACATCTAAAACATTCAGGGTCTTGAGGGCCAGGGTTGGGAAACACTGTGTTAGGGGACGCAGAGGTTTTGATGGATCTGCTTTTGTCCATTAATAAATCACACAAAGTGTCAAATAAATGAGAGCCAGATGAAAAATATGGTCAACTCGGAGCAGCCTAATGAGTCCCAGCTGATCAGGAGGATCAGGATCAGTCCACTTAACTTCATGTTTTCTTAGATATGCTAAAACATGTTTTAATTTTTAATTTGAGTTTTTTCAGCTAAAACAGATGGGTCCACTCTGACTCATTGTTTTTGCTTTCCTCTGCTCTTTAGTTCCTACAAACCTACAAAATAACAAGTTTGTCTCACTGGCAAAGGAGCTAATGTACAATGTAATTTAAGTTAAATTTGCTGATTTGTTTTCTAGTGCACCTCTAAACCTAACCCAGACTGCAAATGGAGGTTTTTTGAGAAAATCAAAAGAACGCTTTTTATTTCTCTTTCTCACTGTTTACGTTTTAATTATGTTTTTAAAATCTCTTTCTCTTTCTCACATGCTGTTTTTATTTTAATTATGTAAAGCACTTTGAAATGCCTTGCTGCTGAAATGTGCTATACAAATAAAATTTGATTGATTTTCATTAAAATGAAGATGAGAACTTGGAAAAACATCAAATGATGGGAAAATTATTTCTGTTTTTTGCTTACAGGCACAGGCATTATCATAAAATTAAAGTCTAATATTGAAGAAGGAAACTACAAGGTGGCCATGAATGTTCAGGACGTCCTGGGTCTGTCACAGGTCAGCACTGTCACAGCTAAAGTGTGTGACTGCACTGGAACACCAATCTGCAAGAAAGCAGAATCAAGAGCTACTGGCGCCAATCCTTGGGTCATTGGGGGAGTTCTTTTATTGGTGCTGGTGGGAACTGGTGAGTTTTAAATGTTCATTTGCGGACAGATAGAGAAATATTCTCTTTAATCATGAAACACAAAATAACAATCCACATTGGGACCTGAAAATAACCAACCAAACTCAGTGATGCTGAACAAAAAGCAAACAACAAACAGAAAGCAGGAAAATATGTTTCATTTCTGCAAATTACAATCACAGGTACTGGATAAAACAGATATTATTTATATTTGTTGTTAAAATGCTGACTCATTCAATAAATTTGAATATTTGAATAAGTCAGTTCATTTCAGTAACTCCATCACCAAGTGACACACATTAGACAAAGACTGATGTCTTAGCACATTTATTTCTCTTAATCATGATGAGTTTCTGCTAATAACCAACAAAAACATTTTTTTTAAACAAAAACGTGGCTTTAATAAAAAAGTATGTTTCATACGTACTTAAAGGTCATTATTTTCAAACAAGACTCATTGGGAAATTATTGAGTGTAACCGTACTATTCCTGATGGTTACATGGTTATAGTCTTGAACATAAACCAAACTAAGTTTGCATAGTATCATAAAGCTGTTGCCTTTCCCACACAGTTAACCTGGTGACCACACCGCAGTCGGTTGCTCAGTGGGAACCGACTGCGCTCCGCAAACCCAGCAGAGATTACTTTAAAAACGTAACATTCAGTCCGCTACAATATTAGCTTTTCAGGCTTGGTATTTATTTTGCGATTATTAAGTGCTTTCAAGAACACAGCGGTGGTTGATTAGTTCATTTTAAACTCCTGCTTTGCTCATTATTTTGATAATGGAAGCGAAACGCACAGAATTGCGCAACACCTTGTAGAAACAATAATCACTGAGATTATTATTGTTGTTGGGTCATTAATTTGAACATGTTTTGTAGATTTTTTTATGTTGTTATTTAATAAAGTTACAAACGTTTTGATGAGTCAGAGGAGGACGTGCTGGTCTCATCGTCCTGGTGGCGTTCAGTTTGTCACCTAATGCTGAGATCGACGCAAAACCGTCCACGATCGACGTGTTATTGCTCCCCTGCTCTAGCAAAGCACGAACAGTTCAGAAACAATATGAAATGGGAAAAAAAGCTATTTATTAACTGATTAAGTCGTGTTTTAGATTGTTCTTGAAAAACTAATCAATCACGACTGATTAGTGGATGCACTCACAGCTACACAGAGGACCCAATGATTCTTTACAGCAAACAGCCGCTCCCCTCTCTTGTGCCCCCGCTAAATCTTTTAGGGGTACGCAGTACCCTACTGTACCCACCTACTTTCACCCCTGTATGTGGGGCTTGAGGATCTGGCAAATTTACAATTTGTGCTCTTGTTTTTAGTGATTGCCTTGGGTGTGTTTTTGAAGAAGAAAGGAAAAACTGGAGTGATAGATGAAAAAAGTGATGATGATGAAAGGGATGAGCTTGTTCTTTCTAATGAAGAGGGAGGTGGAGAGAGCATTCAGCAGGTAAACAGTCACATGTCTACACAGCTTAAACATCATGTTGTTACATTTGTTTAAAATACAAAATTGTGATTCCTACATAGTAGTAATTGAAAAACAGAACCTTTGACTTGGCATATTTCTTCTTAATTCAAATGGATCAGAGGATGATTGCAGATTGGACAATAACCCAATATGTTTCTAACAATATAATTCTCCCTCTCTCTGTCAGAATTATAGTGAGAGTGTTCTCCACTTTGCTCTGACCAACAAGTCTGACATGTCCAGGGTCGTCATGGCTCCTCCACTTGAAAGTGGTCCCCGGTACAGACCTCGGCCAACCGACACAGATGATATCGCCGAGTTTATTGACCATGTGAGTGAAACCCTTTCGAAATGAGAGCAGATGTTTGTCATTGTGTTCTATCTAGTTTTAAACAACTGTTTTGTTTATTTTTTCTAATTCACAGTCAACACAATAACAGATTTCTTAACTTTTGTCTTTCATAATTCAGAACCTGAAGGTGGCAGATACAGACCTGACTGCCCCCCCCTACGACTCCCTGCTGGTGTTTGATTTGGAAGGAGGCGATTCTGAGGCAGAAAAACTCTCGTCTCTGTACTCCTCGAGCGACGGAGACCAGGACTACGATTCCCTCAAAGAATTTGGCCCTCGCTTCAAGAAGCTGGCCGACATGTACGGAGGAGGAGATGATGACATGATGTAAATGTTCCCACACTGTGAGAAAAATTGCTGCATGCATGCAGTCTAACTGTGATACTTTGTGAAATCTATATCTGTGTGATGTGTGTATTCAGTCCTATTTTTTCTCTGTAAGCTGTTCTTCATCAGGGTCTTCAGGTTAAAGCCTTACATTAGTTTTAGTTCTTCATTTATGATTCTATTCTCTATTATACATATGCACTTGAAAGCTCAGTTTTGCTGGTATGATTTGTGGAGAATGTAACCAATATAGTAAGTACTTTGCATCTTGTTTTTTTTTTTTATTATTAATCTTTCCATCAGTGTTTATTTTTCAGTACCATGCAAAGTTCAACAGCCATTGTGCCATTAACAAGAATTGATGAGATTCATATTTTTGTACAAAAAAAGATGTCTTCAGTATTTGAAGACAACATATGACAAATTATTTTTAATATTAAATTCTTTAACTTAATATGTCTTTATGCTTAAGAGAGTGATTTTGCTCTTTTTAATGCATAATGACTATCCATCCATTTTCCATACACCCTTGTTCCCAGTGGGGTCAGGAGGGTCACTGCTGCCTATCTCCAGCTAACCTTCCAGGCGAGAGGTGGGGTACACCCTGGGCAGGTTGCCAGTCTGTTGCAGGACAACACAGAGACAGACAGGACACACAACCATGCACACACACACTTACAGCTAGGGAGAATTTTAGAGAAACCAATTAACCTGACAGTCATGTGTTTGGAAGCTGGGGTACCTGGAAAGAACCCATGCATCCACAGGGAGAACATGCAAACTCCATGCAGAAAGACCCCAGGCTGGGAATTGAACCCAGAGCCTTCTTGTTGCAAGGCAACAGCTCTACCAACTGCACCACTGTGCAGCCCCTACATAATGACTATAATAAATGTAATACATACTTATAGTTATGCATGCAGCCATGTTCAATAAGTTATATTTTTGTTAGTCCATTTATTTTAGTAACAAATAAGTGAAACACATTCTGCAGATTAATTCCAAAGACACTACTTTCAAACCTGTATTTTGTTAATGATTTTCTGCTTACAACTGAGGCAGAGACGACATTTTAGATTAAAATATGATACATCAGACCAATGAAAAAGTAATGGAAAAATATGCGTCTAATGAAAATTAATATCTGTTTAAAGTTCCTGCTTAAAACTTTATTTACATAGTGCCTTGAAACATTAACACAAAGTGTTTCAACAAAGAAAAAAAATCAACAAGGCAAAATGAAACAGAAAACAAATTTTTAAAAAATATCTGGTCTATACAGGAAGCCACTGGGTCAGCTGATCTTAGTGTCAAAGGAAGGGAGTCTGAGCTGTAGAAGAAATTTTAAATATACAACAGAAATGTTTTAATTGGCATTAAAATAATGAACCCTTTGTTATAGAGGCTTAGCATCTTTTTTGAATGTTTTGCTGATTTATCATAATGAGCTCCAAGTCTTCAATGCTGAATTGCCTCCTTACCATCACCCTAATTTTTTGCTCCCTCCACAGAATCTCTGAGATTCCCTTTTATATTTACAGACAAGCCTCTCCAAAAATGTTATGTCCAGACAGTAGAAACATGATGGTGAATTTTGAAGATTACTTTAAAACTCCCAAACACCAAAGATTGCACAACATTTTTGTTGTTCAGTGTTTGCTTAGTAGCACCAGCAATGTAGAAAACAAAGTCTATGTATTGGGGAAAAATATAACAAAGGTTAAAAGTTTCACCTTTAAAAAAGCTTGCAGAAAGCTAACTGCCCAAATAGTGAACAATCGAAAACATCTTCCTTGATCTCTCAACAAGATGTCATTACAATGAATGAAATTACACTAAAACGGTTCATTACAAAATAACCACGAAATGTTCAACATGTTACTACACACACATTTAAAACGCATGCAGCAATTTTCTTTAAATGTACCAAACATGTACAATACGTTTTCATCCTGTTCTCCATTATTATCAGGCAGTTTCTGAAAGTTGGACCCCATCAGCCAGATATTCGTATTCTGGGTCTTGTGGGTCAGAACCGCCTCACTTACAGTCAAACACCAGCAGGATGTTTCAGGCAGGAGCAGTCAGGAAGAAAAGAAGGAAAAAGTTAGCATAACATGGAACAGGTTATCTATTACAGAATTGATGGACATTATTTTTTGTTTAGTTTTCACAAAGAATAATGCTGATTGTCTTTAAAAAGTTTGTGAAAGGAGAACAATAGCATTGATGTGTTTTTACTTCACATACAATATAACCTCACTGGATGATCACAGCTAAATCAACTGAAGAACTAAACAAGATAGAAAAAATATTTATATATATATATATATATATATATATATATATATATATATTTTTATATATATATATATATATATATATATATATATATATA